AATTATTATTATAAATTAATTATTTAATATAGTTAAATTGTATTTATATATTTATTTATTTAAATTATTTGTATACTATAAATTGTCTTTTATATCTTAAATGTATTCAATGCAGTTCATTGAGCAAAAAATCCAGAACCTGATGATGGAATATGTTTTGAGCGCGCCGCCCTCCATATCAGTCAGAGTTCCCCAGTCTGACGATTAAGGGTGAGAGGATCTACTTCCTGCTCAATCGACTAATACACTTCCTGTTACACGGAGTAAACACAATGCCAAATTTCATCTTATACAGGACTGACAGTGATGACGGCGATGCAGAGAAAAAGAAATTCCAAAGTCAACTCCAAGGTACAACATTTTGTGTCCAACATACTTTATTAAAGAAGCCACAACAGGAGAAAAAAACTTGGATTTTCATACTTCCCAGGTGCTATTGTCATGGAGAAACCCAACATTAAGTGGGACGATGTTGCTGGTTTGGAAGGAGCCAAAGAGGCCCTTAAAGAAGGAGAGGGATTCTGCTCTTTGGTCCTCCAGGAACAGGAAAGTCCTACCTGGCTAAAGCAGTGGCTACCGAGGCCAACAACTCCACCTTCTTCTCCATCTCGTCATCAGACCTGGTGTCCAAGTGGCTGGGAGAGAGGAGAGAGCGAGTGCTCCTCAAATGTTAAGTGTGAATATATTATTTGTTTTTAATCATTTAGAATTTATGTTTTATGTTGTGTCATTGTCTGTTAGGTTAGTGAAGAATCTGTTCAGTTTGGCTCGGGAGCACAAGCCTTCAATCATCTTCATTGATGAGATCGACTCCATGTGCGGCTCCAGAAACGAGAACGAGAGCGAAGCGGCCCGCAGGATCAAGACAGAGTTTCTGGTCCAGATGCAAGGTAAACATCATCTTCATCGATGAGATCGACTCCATGTGCGGCTCGTGCGGCTCCAACGAGAGCGAAGCGGCCCTCAGGATCAAGACTGAGTTTCTGGTCCAGATGCAAGGTAAACAAGGTAAATGCGATAGCTTTGTCGCAAGAGCAAATTTGGCGCTGTCTGAGTCTCATTTGACAGGGTTGTTATAATTTTGTATATAATATAATATAATATATAAATATAATATAATTTTTTTTGTTTATTTTCTTATGTAGGTTCAATACTAGGGCTGTGCGATTAATCGAAATCGTCATAAAATCACGATTTGAGGGTGCACGATTTCTAAATCGCTTTACAGCACGATTTTCCGCACCCCGACCTCCCGCAGTATGCTATCCGAACCAATCAGAATGCAGCGCGCCTAAATGGAGTGCGAGAACAGAATGGGCATACAGACGTAACGCCAGGTTCACACACTCTGTCTGTGGTGTGTATGCGGTGCGTATTTTTTCTGCGCCCATGTTAACGGATCAGAGCATTCACACTGCATACGATTGCGGTCC